TAAGGCCCAAAAAAATCAGGGGGGACTTCAAACAAGATAAAAACTGAAAAAAAGGAAACAAAGTACGTAAACATAGACGCATCCAATTAGTTTTAATTGTAAAACTGCAAATACAACAAACGTTAAATTGAATAAAAGGTATAACAACGGTATATAAGGAATAAAATATTCACAATCAGCCACTCAGGGACACATTAACCAGGCCGTAAGACGCTCTTTCTGAACGGGGGAGCTGACAGCGAGGGCCGAGGGCCCGAGAAAATTTTAAAATTTAGAGTCTCTGAAATGCCATTTCCTGGACTTTGGGGAAAATTTGACAGAATTCTGATGGTCAGAAAACAGCGTTTTGGTATGTCGAAATTTACAATTTAGTAGTACTAAATGGGCGAAGGCGTATTTAATTAACTATATATCGGATAAGTTGCAGGAAAGTATAGATAATATCTTCTTTCTTTGCAGTTTTTCATGGATGATGTAGACACTTAAAATTAATCAATTATCAGTAATTTAATTAAAAGTATATTATTTAAATTATAAAGGTCTGCAAGATTTTGAAAAAAAAGAATGATTATGGGCTGCAGCCCCCCCCCCCAGCCCCCCGGTTGCTACGGCCCTGATTAACCTATTTAGTAAGTTTGCCTTGTGAAATGGGTTTGCCGATAAAGTAAAACCCTGCACGTACGACCAACTTGATTGTTGTTATTTTGATAATCAAAGAAGCATGCCCCAAATAATAGTAATTTAATTTACCAAACTCTCCTTAGTTGCTGAAAATGCTAAAAGCCGAAAACACTTTCTATATGTTTCAATTAAGAGACTACAAATGGAGCCAACAAGACGCGAGATTTGAGATTTCCAAACACAGAAAAATTTGAGCATAGAAATTTAGCGCGCGTGTTTTAACCAAGAATGGGATTTGGGGGACTGACTCTAGCTACGTCACTGATGCATGCATGTTTCTGCATGCATGTAGAAAAAAATTAGGAGAAATGGGATCTAGACCCCTCCCCCCTCCCTTCAGGGACCTCTCATAAATTCCTCTTTGCAAATTAGTATTTTTGTTCTATTGTAATCAAAAATACCTTACAGCATATCTTTCAGTAGTCGATTAATTCCGGGAAAATCACAATTTATTTACCAAGAAATTTTAATTTTTTGAAGCAAATTTACAGTACTGGTCATGAATATTAGTTATGTTTTCATTGAGGCGATTACTTTCTTTTTTACCACCATAAAACACATATTAACATTTGTCTGTGGGTCAGTCTAGGACAACATTTTTTTGGTCAACCTCGTACCAAAGTTCGCAACATATCGAGCTGGGTGATCTCAAAACGTATTTTATGGTCTTCACATTTTCGTCGTAGCTTGTTCTCTAATTTGGTTGCCATGTTTGTTTCCCCCTTCCGATAGGCGAGCAACGATTGACCATACATCAAGTAGACTT